AAGACCCCAGACGCTGCTCACCAAGGTAGAATGTAGAACATTGTCTTTATAAACTGTGTTATGCCAATTGAGCTAGATGTTCCCCGAGACCATGGTTCCCACAGCCCTTTGCCCAGCAATTCAGTCCCTCAGGGAGTTTGGATGTGTCTATGGAGCTTCCATGACCTTTCCCTGTACAAGTTGTGCTGGCTTCCCCAGTACTGTGTACTGTCTTACCCTTCACCAAAGTTACCACTTATCTATTGTCTATTTAGTATTTCCCCTCCAGTCCTCCCATCTCTCATAAGCAACAGGGATTGTGACTTTTTGTGTGTAAACTGTTTCATGAGTTTTTACAGTAGAGGTCTCATACAATATTTGTCCTTTTGTGATTGACTTATTTCACTCATCATAATGTCCTCCAGTTTAATCCATGTTATGAGATGCTTCACAGAGTCTTCATTGTTCTTTATCGTTGCATAATACTCCGTTGTGTGTATGTACCATAGTTTGTTTATCCACTCATCTGTTGATGGGCATCTAATTTGTTTCCATCTTTTTGCTATTGTGAACAATGCTGCCATGAACATGGATGTGCATATGTCTATTTGTGTGATGGCTCTTATTTCTCTAGGATATATTCCTAGGAGTGGGATTGTCGGATTGTATGGTATTTCTAGCTTTCTAAAGAAGCGTGGTATCATTTTCCAAAATGGTTGTATCATTACACATTCCCAGCAGCAGTGCATAAGAATTCTGATCTCCCTGCAGCTTCTCCAACATTTGTTATTTCCAGTGTTTTTGATTCTTGCCAGTAATGCTGAAGTGAGACGGTTCATCCCCGTTTTTCCCCAAACATTGTCTCTGGACACTGCTGTCTGACAGAGTATTAGAGGGGCTTCTTATGGTGGGGAGAGGGTCAACATGATATGGGAAGGTGGGTTACCTAATGTTAAACTATTTCTCTATTGCAGGACTCTTGTCTTTACTCAGCTACTATACATTCTGAGATTTTAAGAGATGGGTGTGTATGTGAAATTCTCCAAATATTTCCAATGCTCCTAGGTGATGGGAAAACCATGGACTATTCCCAGGTAAATGCTGTCCACCTGGGTCCCTTGATGAAACCAGGAAATTGAACCTCGTCGCGTGCTCAGACCCTGGTCTCAGCTCAAAGTGTTTCTTCCTCCCATGGCCTGTCTCCAGCCCACTCCAGAGGACTGGAACCCTCCTCATTTCTCC